CCCCCCCCCCCCCCCCCCCCCCCCCCCCCGAGCCTGAATCCTGGGTTTGAAAAAACCTGCTAATGAGAACACAGGATTATTTTAACAGCCTGAGTTTGCCGGCTTCAGCTGTCTCACCTCCCGTTCCGTTCGCAGATACGCAACCTCTCAGCGGCCTGCGCTGCCGTTGGAACAGCATTACAGCCCCGAAGTGACCTCGAGCGGCGATTCCTCGTCCGGGGGGCTCCCCAGTCAGGAGAGCACCATGGAGAGGCACAAGCCGGGTAAGGCTCCCTCACACCGGCGCGGGGGACCCGTGCACTCCCCTTCGGGTTGGAAGCATTTGAACACCGCAGAACGACTTGGGCACGTAGGCTCCGTAATGATTCCCTGAGAGGTTTTCCTGCTTTCAAGGAGTGAAGCCTCTGCAAGCCTGGGGCCTGATGCAGGCTCCGGAGCCACTGTCTCTTCTCTTGATTTGGGAGCTAAACTCCCCTGCCCAGACTGGCGTGTTGAGCCCTGCCCGGCTGCTGCGTGGTGCGGGGCCGGGGAAGTGGCTCTGCCTCCTGTGCCACTGGCTGTCCCTGCTCGGCCTGGTGCACGCCGGCAGCCCTGCCACTGAGGGGTCTCTCCACTTCCTCAGCCTGGGTGTGGTGAGGGGAGGGGTCGCTAGGATTGGGGCAGATGGGGGTGTCACGGACTCTCAGATCGTGCCCACTCTTGGCCCCGTGCGGTCCGTGGGGGGTGCCCCTGTTAGTGAGACAGCCCTTCGCGGGGGTCCACTCTCTCCCAGGGTCAGGCCCCTCCACCTCCTGGAGCCGCACCTCTCTGAGCCTTAGCACATCTGTCTCTCGCCGTGGGCCCCCTCAGGGAGTCCACTCGCTCTGGACCCCCCGGGCCTTCACCCCCGAAGGGGTTGATGCAACCCTGTTCTCTAGACCGGAGCGACTCTCAGCCAGCATAAAACAGGAGGGTTTATTGAGGGTTGAGCACAGCACAGGAAACTCTCAGGCCTGGCCTCCCTCAGCCCAGCACATCCCAGTCTCCCTGCATCCAGGTAGGCTCTGCCTGCTCCCCCTCTCCAGCCTCGAGCCCCCCTGCTCCCAGCTGGGCATCCGAGATCCCCGGCCCCAGGCCCCGCCTCTGTCCATTGTCTTCTCTCCAGGTAAACAGGGTCGTAAACCGGGCCCTCCGCTCCTGCTTCTGTCCTCTGTCTGGAACCGTCTGGTTAGGTCACTGGGTCCTCACTCTGCAGCCCATTGTCCTCCCACTGGCCAGAACCGGCTGCGTCTCCTCAGCTGGGCCTCTGGGTCACCAGGTCGCCAGGTCACCGGTCGCTGGGGTATCCATCCTCCCGGCCACCGGCTGGGTCCCCACGTCCTCTCTCCGGTCCTCTGCAAAACACACTCCCTCTCCCCTCACCTCGTTAAACCAGTAACACCCAGGGAAACCGAGTCCCACCCCCTCCGCATGCAAACCATTGAAACTCCACAGAAAACAAGAAACCCCCCCACTTCGTCACAGGGGGGAGGGGAAACTGAGGCACGTAATTGCCCACGGTCACGTGGCAAGTCGGTGGCAGAACTGGGAATAGAACCCAGGTTTCCGGACCCTCAGGCCGGTGCTGTGTCCACTCTGCCGTTCTGACAAATCTTGACTGAGCTCCTGGCCTCGGTAATAGCCTGCAGCGGGGAGTCCCGCGGATCAGGTCTGCCATCAGCTCTGTAGAAGGGTTCCATGCCTTTCTCCTCTCCACACTCAATTGGCTGTTTTCGAGAGGGGCAGAAATCAATGAATAGAAACATGCTGAAAAGCAGACGCTGGATTTCTCCCACCTTTTCGTTGTGCTGATCTGGCCCCAGCCCCCAAGTGGGTTGGTGATTGTTAGTTCACTTTTGTTTCGCCAGCCAAGTGGGAGACTCTTTCTTTATAGATCCTGTTTCCAGAGGGCGCTGACGGGCCTGCTCTGCGGGGAGAGCCCCACAGATGGGGTGTGGATACAACAGCCCAGGCAGATTCTGTCCCCTGGCACCTGCTCCCGGAGCTGCCATTAACACGAGTGGGAGCGGCTGCCTCACCATGGCAGAAACTCAAAGCTATTAGAGAAGGGATGTTAAAATTCCCAGCCTGTGTGATCTTCCCTAGAGGAGCCAGCCAGGTTACTGACCTGGTGTATTCACCTCAAGGGTCAGAGGAGATACAGGTGCGATAAACTCTCTCGCTGTCTGACGTTAGAACAGTGCTGAAAAGGATCAGGGGGAGGGTTCCTCGGGTGTCTGGCATTCTTTCTAAAGCTGAAAGTTTATTGCTCAAACACAAACGAGCATTTATAGTGAAACTGAACTCGAGTTATTATACCAGACAAACCTCATTGAAACCTGTTTAAGCCTCTCTCCTTTTGGAGGCAGACTAGCACAGTCTCCTCTTTTCATTAACAACCATGCATTGGTGCAGAGGAGAGGGGTGATTTGACTCCGCGCTGATGGTATGTGAAGAGTATTTGCTGCTCCTGTTGGTAACAGACAGACCCGAGGTGGAGGAGGGCCGGGTAGCAAAGGGGGGAAAGGCGGCTTTGGGTGTTGTCTCTGGGACACTGGATGGCTGGTAGGTCATCTGGGGCAGCTGGTGCTTGGACCCCAGTTCGCATTCCACTCGGGGACGTCGTCCGCCATCTCATCTGGCTGTGCTGAGGCCGTCCAGGTGGCTTCAGGCTTTGATTAAAAGCTGAGAGGGAGAGACAGGACAGGAGGAAAGAAATGGTGGGGAAGAGCGTAACACAACAGGGACGGGAAGGGAACAGGCTCTGCTCTGGCTCTGCGGTGGTGGCAAATAGCTGTCCCCACCATGGGCTGAGATAAAACACCAAGCTCCTTAAACGGGAGTGAGGCTTGCTGGCCACCCTCTCATGACGGAGATCTGCTCCCTCAGCCTCGGGGGCTGAGACCGGAGCTGCCGAGACTCTCGGTCTCTTTTTAAGAATCCCCAAAAGGGGAAAATCCGGGGGCGTAGTTCATCGCTCGTTATTCCGGCCGACAATTAGGCCTAATATCCCACGCCCCGATTTTGGTGCAGTAATTTCCAGCTCCACATGGTCTGTTTTTAGCAGGTGATGGTGCTGTTAACCCAGGCCGTGAGTCACTCGTGCTGGTGGCGGTTTGCACTGGCTCAATCTCTGTCGGGTTTTCTTGCCCTTGTTCATAACATTTGTTATTCCAGTGTTCATTCCCCAGCAGGCCAAAAGCTCCAGGTATTGGGGCCTCTTGTGAACTTTCACATGCTCCTTACAATGAGCTCCCCAGGAATGCGTGGGCCCAGTTATCTCCAGAGGTCAGGGCCTCTGTTGTGCCGGGCACTGTCCAGAGCCCATGAACAGTCTCTGCCTCACACAGCAGGAGGAGATCAAAGCCCATAGAGGCAGCCCCCAAGGCAGGTCATGGGCCGAGATAGGAGTAGAGACTAGGCGTCCTGTCTGCCTGGCCCACCCCGCTCCTCCCCAGAGTCAGACACCCAGAACCTACTGGATGCAGCCGGACTCAGCAGCTGTGCTGGCTGGCAGGAACGCTGCCCCCAAAGGACTGGAGCTGTTCGAGTTCTCCATGTGCCCGTCACTAACAGGGAGTTAGGACTGGATTGGTTCCTCCCTGGATGGGGCTGTTTTGTGGTGGATGGTTTACCCCTCGCTGAATCCTTTGCTCATGGCTTGCTTCTCTTGGGGAGGCGCTGGGCTGGCCCTGGGCATGCCCAGGTGGTTTGGGGACCAGGTGGAGGTGCCAAGCGCTGCCTTGTGAGCAGTGGGCCCCTTTGAGGGGTCTCAGACTGGCCACTCAGCCCTGAGTCACGGTACGCCTCAATCTCTCCGGGGCACATTTTCCAAGCGCCTAGGGGACTTAGGCTCCTCCCTGCATGTTTTGGAAATGCGACTTAGGCCTGCCGTGCTCTTGACTTAGGAAAATGTTCCCCTCTCTGTGTCCCCGCTCTTCCCCACCCTCAGGTGGTGAGGCAAGGAGCAGGTTAATGTGAGTGAGGCCGGGGGGTTGCAGGAACGGGGCCATAGCCCCACTCAGCGGGAAGGGGAGACGGCGACAAGCCCTTAGCGCAGACACCGGGGAGCAGCCGCAAACAGCTGGTCTGTGTCAGCAACGGGCGATTTCCTTCGGCGGGATTATAAACAATGCCAAATCTCTCTGACCAGCCACCATCTGGCTAGGGCAGCACAGCTGTGAGCGCACCGGCTCGGAGCGCCCGCCAGCAGGCTCTGCCGCGGCCCTGGCGTGCTCGCGCCTTGGGAGGGTCCCCTCCAGCGGGATGGCTTAGGGTGCGGCTGGGAAGTAGCGTCGGTGTTGAGCGGGAGGTGCTCTTCCTTCTGGGAGAGCCCAGCGCTGCGTTAATGGGGGCTGGCCTGGGCAAGGGAGGAGCAGTGCCCTGTCCCCTAGTGGCGCCGATTGCAGGAGCCGACGTTCTAGCCATGGCTAATTACCAGCTCCCTAAAGCTGCCCTGTGCACTCCGAGGAGGCTGCCTTTCACCGCAGGGCAGGGCGGGGCGGGGCGGGGCAGGCTGTTGGGATCCACGGGGCCTGCTGTGCGAGTCGTTCCTGACGTGGCGTGCTGGTGGATTGTTGCAGAGCCCCTGTGGCACGTGCCGGTGCAGTCCAGGCTCCCGACTGCGACGGGGAGCAGCATGAGTAAGCGGCCCAGCAGGCAGGAGCTGGCAGGAAAGGATTCTCCCAACCGGCCTTCCAAAGTGAGTGGAGCTTCTCCCCGAACCGGGCCCCAGGCTGCGCGCCGTATGGGTGCTGTTACAGCATGCAAGCCCCTCCGCCCCAGCCGTAGTGAGCCGCGGGGCCGTCCTGGCTCTCCCCTGGTGAGAAGCAGGCGGCTCGGTTCGTAGGGTTTGTCTCGTGCAGAGGCCTAGCCCTAGGGGAGGCGACCGTGCGGGGGCTGTGTGCTGGGGCAGATGCCCCAGGGAAGCTGAGCCCGCGTGTCAGCGTCTGCCCCCAGTTGAAGGGGGGCTGTTGTTCTGGGGGTGGCGGCCAGGCAGTAAGCGCTGCCCCAGGTTGTGTGCTCAGCACGGTTCCCAGCACTGTGTGGTTTAGGAAGGGCCGTGCTATGTCCTGAGAGCAATACCCACCTGAGCGCGTCTCCGGGAGCGTTCGGCGCCGGGGCAGAGCCAGTCACTGCTCCAGTTAGACCCATCTCTCAGCAGGAGAGGCGCTGCAAGCCCCGCAGCTGAGCAATGGAGCCGCTCGGCGGCTGTCCTGGCTTGGCAGCGCTGCGTGAGAGCTCTGCTCCGTCACATCCCCAAAGCAGGCCGGCCTCCGCTGCACCGTCTCCGCAGCGGGCTGCAGCGTAGTCTGGGCACGGCTGTTGTCTAACCCGCCGGGCACAGCCGTCCTGCTGCGGGTGATGCTTTCGATGCCCCCGTGATCTCCCCAGCGAGTACACCGCTGCTAGTCTGTGTGCCAGTGAACTCAGGCGTGGCCCCAGCCGACCCGCTGGGCTGCACCCGCCTTCCCCAGACCCAGCAATCTGAAAGGACCCCAGCCCTGCCGAGTTACCTGGAGCCCCGCGGCTCTCCCGGGGGGCTCCCTGGCTGGAGAAGGCTGGGCGGGGCTCAGCTCCCCAGTGGTGGGCGGGAGGCCGGGGGGCCGTTCTCCGGTGACCCGCGGAGGGGCTGTCTTTGCAGGGTGAGGCTCAGTACTCCAGCCACTCCAGCAGCAACACGCTGTCCAGCAACGCCTCCAGCAGCCACAGTGAGGAGCGCTGGTTTGACACGCCCGAGCCTGCTGAGGGTGAGCCAGACCCCGTCTCCAAGGGGGGCTCCAGCGACAGCGGCATTGACACCACGCTCTACGCCAAGCCCTCCCGCCTGGGGCCGCAGAGAGACCAGCTGCCCAAAGCCCTGCCGGGCTCCGCCCACTACGCCAGCCTGCATGAGAGCGGGGCCAGGCCCGGGAGCAAGAGGAGGGAGCCTTCGCCTGCCGTCAGCGCGGGCAGCCACAGCCGAGGCTACCGGCCCAAGCTGTACGCCACAGGGGCCAGCGCGGCCGGGCCTGCCGCAGCCCCCAACCAAGGCAGTGAGCTCTTCAAGCAGCCAAGGTAACCCGGCCTGCGCAGCCCGGAGCGCTGGGGTGGGGATGGGAGGGAAGCAGGGGAACCCCCCCACCACCAGTGATGGGAAGGCTCCAGGGGTCTGCTCGAGCTCTTGCTGGGAGGCTGACAGAGGCGGAAACTGGGGAAGAGCCAGTTCCCTGGCCAGCCACTTCCTCCCTCCGCCGGTGCTTGGAGCTGGTCATGTGCTGTGCCAGGCTGGGTGAGAAACACTGGCCGGGGAGGTCTGAGCGCGCAGCAAAATACCCAGGAACCGCCGAGAGGTAGGTGGGGGAAGGGCTGAGGCCCGGCGTAAACGTAGCTCAGATCTGATGGGTGAGGTCCCGGTACCACTGCAAAGACAGAGTCTGCAGCCCGCTCTGGGGCCCAGCTTGGGGGAGGGGTTACATCTGGCTCCCCCCTGCTGTGGGGCTGGAGGGCAAAGCTCAAAGCAGGTTCCTGGCCCTAGTGTCCTCCAGGTAACGGCCAGCACAGCAGAGCCCTCCTGCTGCACGGCCGTTAGGTCTGTGCTGGAGAAATACGATCCCCAGCTGGGGTAAATCAGCCCTAACTCCATCAAAGCCAGCAGGCCAAGCCGATTTGCACTCCTGGCACCTGAATGTTCTGGCCTGGACGAATCGTCTCGTGGGAGAGGCAGGGAGGCACGTTCCCCTGCAGGATGTGAAATGCCTGTTAGTGACCCATGGAGAGAGGGCAGGTTCCTAGCACCCCTCTGGGGCACCGGCTAAAAGCCCTGTCCCTATTCCCTGGGGAGGCGTGGCTTTGGTTGGTGACACTGATCTATCTCTTGCTGTATTGCCAGTCCCAAGGGTTCAGAACTCAAGAGCCCCACCCCCTGAATCATGGGATTTCCAAACTGCTCCCCGCTGGGCTCGGTATTCGCTGTTGGTTGGGGAGCTCCTGGGGTGTCACTTTCAGGCCTTTCTCTGTAACCACCAAGGCACAGAACCCCCTAATCACATGACTCCAGCAGCTGGGCCCTAAAGGAAAAACGCCCCAAATCTCATGAGTTGGCAACACCCTGCTTGTCCGCTAGTGCTCGTCTTCCCCCCCCCCCCCCTCCAGGTTTGCCATCTCAGCCGTGTTTAAGGGACACCGGATCTGTTCCACTGAAACAGTGAAATGCAGCTACAGCTCCTGCCCCAGCCCCGACTCCCCCGCCAGGTTCTGGGGTTTTACAGCCCCTGTGTTTGCTTGATTTCCTCTCCCCAACTAGAGGGGCAGCCGGGAAAGTGATTCTCTTCAAAGCACCGTTACCTTCCCAGAGTCACAAACTGGAAACTCCGAGCCAAATCGACTTTACACACGAACTTCTGGGGGTCACGGTTCCGCCAGTGAGGAGTGATTTGGGGGTGCCTGTCCGGGGTCCCTGTTTTCACAGGTCGGACTTTCCGCCCCAGCCGAATCCCGGCCCTTTACAGGGTCTCAAGTCCCTGCTCACAGCTGCATATCTTGCCCCCTTGTAAAACCAGCAGGTCAGACGTTCTCAGACAGGGCTGGTTTGTAAAGTGCCAGTGTCCCTTTAAATGCTCAGACCCGCCGAAGCCCAGAGACTGGGCCACGTGCTAGTCTCTGGCCCAAACCCAGCCCTGCTGCGGAGCAGCAGATTTTTAATCCCAACCCAGAAACCTCCCGGGTTTTGTACCGGTTGTGGTGTTTTAAAAGGGGTGAGGAAAGGGGGTCACCCCAGCGTGGCTTGTTCCCAGCCAGAGGGCACTGGTGCTGGGGAATTCGGATTTCCGCCTGACCTGGAATTGATTTGCTTTCGTTTTTTGTTTGTTTGTTTTTACTTTGTAGTAATTTCGGTTTGCGACAAGGCCGCCCTGCTCAGGGTTACAAAACGCCCGTGGCTGAGAATCCCAGGCCCCCACACATGTCCCAGTCCAGCTCCTTCCAGCTGTCTGCCTCTGTCCCCAAATCCTTCTTTTCCAAACAGACCAGCAGGAACAAGCCGGCGTTGGGGTGGAAGAGAGCCGAGGAGACCCCCACGAGACCTGTGGCCTTCACAGACCCAAAGAAGTAAGCGCTTCTCATTGAGCCGCCGGCTGGTGGGTTGGGGCTGAGCAGAGCGCCAGGCGTGCGGGATCTCTGCCATGGGGATTGGCCAAGTCAGTGGTACTCGAGCGATAGCCTTCAGTAGCTTCCGCTGCCTCGGCGCACGTCGGGCCGCGAGTTCTGAGCCAAGCCCGTCTGCAGGCGGGAGCCGCGCTCATTCCTACCAGTGCCCCCCCCCCCATTCCGCCCCCAGCCCGGGCAGCTCTTGCTTGGCACCTGAGGAGGTGGGCATGGGCGGCCCCCCGTGGGCACTGAGTGCAGGGTGGGAGGAGCTGGAACGAGGGGTCTGAATCCCCCCCCCCACCGCCACGCAGGAAGGCAGGAGGGCCCCTGCTCTGGGCCACCTCTCACAGGGCACGGAGAAAGGCTCTGGCATCTCAGCATGGGTAGCTGTGCCCACAAGGATGCACGCAAACCCCTCCAGCACAACAGGGGTTAAAGTCAGAGGTCAGAGAGGATGGCGGCCATGTGCCTGTCTCGGACCACTCCTGCCCAGCGTGGCGCTCCCAGCAGAGAGGGCCACGGCTCTTTGCTGCGTGGCCAGACGCGCTGTGGGCCTGCCATGGCCGCAATCCAGCTCAGCAGGAGCCGCCGGGAGCCGGGCCTCCCGGCCTTTCACCTAGCAAGGCTGGTGGATGAAAAGGAGACCAAAGCCGTGGCCCCGTTCCTGGGGTTTAGGGCCTTCCCTTCTCACTCGCAGGCTCCGTCGTTCCCCTGCCTCCTACAAAGGCTAATAAACGGCGCAGCCCCTGGTCTCGCCTGCCCCACTGGATCCATTGCTGCTCCCGTGCCGGCCAGGGCATGAGAACCACTCCAGAAAAGCCAGGATTGGGCCAGTCACTGCCTGCGCAGAGCTTTCCCTGCCCATCTCTGCCGGGCCCCAGCTCGGGCTGTCGAATCGCACCACCCGTGAATCTCCTAATCAGACATGCCCAGTGGGGAGGACTCCTGGGTTGTGACCCCACATCTCACCTGCTGTACCTTTAGCAAGTCACAGCTCTGTTCCTCAGTTTCCCTGCCTAGCTCTGTGTTTGTCCAGACCGTGTGCTCTTTGGACTGTCTCACTGGTCCTGTGCACGGGGCCCCGATCTCGGCCGGGGTCTGGACATCGCCCGGCCCAACGGGGCCCTGATCTCGGTCGGGGTCTGGGTGGCGCCCAGCACAACGGGGCCCTGATCTCAGTCAGCACCCGGCGCGACGGGGCCCCAATCTCAGCCAGGGTCAGTGGGCACAGCTGTCCTACAAATAACTCGCACCAGGCAGAAGTTTGTGAGGAAAATGATGGTTTCCATCGCTCCTGCATTGGCTCAATGCTTTACAAATGGAGTCACTGTTCCTGCCCCAGAGAGCTGACGAGTGAAGCCCGAATCCAGCCGGAGCACTGGGGCGGACAGAGTTTTCCGTAGGATTGAAAGGAGCAGGGGGTGGGGGCTCGCCTGCCCGATAGAAGGGCTGTAAACACCCAGGGGCTTTGGGAGGCAGACACCCCTCTTGCCTACGGGCATTGACCGTCGGGCCTGCCGTGCGCTTGGCTAACGGGGGCTGCTCCTGGAGCCGGTCTCTGAGCACGTCCCCTCCCACGCTGCTCTAGGCAAATCGACATGAACACCAAGAACGTCTTTGGGCAGCCCAGGCTGCGGGCGTCGCTCCGGGACCTGCGCTCCCCCCGCAAGAACTACAAGTCCACCATTGAGGACGACCTGAAGAAGCTCATCATTATGGACGGCTTGGGCCCGGAGCCAGAGAGAGCCATGGTGGGTGCAGGCCGACAGGGTGGGCCCCACTAACCAGGGGAACTCTGCTCCCTGCCCATCCATCTAACAGCAGTGTTGAGGCTCCAGTGGGCCGGACTCCTGGGTTCTGTTCCCAGCTCTGGGCAGGGAGTGGGGGCTGGGGAGCCAGGACTCCTGGGTTCCATCCCCAGCTCTGTCACTTATCTAGTGTGTGACCTTGGGCGAATCCCTTCCCCTCTCTGTGCCTCAGTTTCCCCTCCCACACTGTACTGTGAGCTCTTTGGGGCAGGAACAGTCGCTCACTGTGCCGTCCCCAGCCCCAGTCTCCGATGAGGCTGCTCGGTGCTGATGTGACCCCCCCAGTAGTGACCCCGGGTTATCGTGGGAAGTAACTGTTTCTGCGACAGTCTCCGCAGAAGACTCTCCAGCGGACGTTATCAGACGAGAGCCTGTGCAGCGGGAGGAGAGACGCCAGCTACGCCAACGCCACCTGCTTCGAACAGTCCCTGGCCAGCGACGTCCTCTTCACCAGCACCTATCCGTCCAACACGCTGCCCACCCGGCGGCAGCACCCGCAGCCGGGCAGCGGCGGCCTCCGCGGGAGGCAATGGGAGGGGGGTGGGGGCTAGTGGTTAGAGCGGGGGGCTGGGAGCCAGGACTCCTGGGTTCTGTCCCTGGCTCTGGGAGGGGAATGGGGGCTAGTGGTTAGAGCGGGGGGCTGGGAGCCAGGACTCCTGGGTTCTGTCCCTGGCTCTGGGAGGGGAATGGGGGCTAGTGGTTAGAGCGGGGGGCTGGGAGCCAGGACTCCTGGGTTCTGTCCCTGGCTCTGGGAGGGGAATGGGGGCTGGTGGTTAGAGCAGGAGGGGCTGGGAGCCAGGACTCCTGGGTTCTATCCCCAGCTCTGCCACTGGCCTGCTGTGTGACTCCGGCTGCGTCACGTCCCCTCGCTGTGAAAGGGGCGGTGATGTACCGTGGTTGGGGGTCCCTAGGTGACGAATGTGAGAGAGAGGCAGGGTAGTGTGTGACGTTGGTGCTGCCGTGGTCCCGGTCCATCAGGAGTGCACACGGGCCTGCCTGGCAGAGAGATGTTATGCGCTGCACGTGTGCTTGTTAGCTGACGAGAGCTGGTTCTCCCCGCGGGCGGGCGCAGCTCCCCCTCTGGGAAGAGCCAGGGCGTCTCCATCCAGCCCCAGGCGGGTCTCCTTGAACCGTCACGGGACCGGCCCCTTCCTTCCCTCTCTCCCACGTGCCTCTGCCTGGACGTGTCATTGCACGTCGGTCCCTCCTCCCAGCGCTGGCCCGATTCTTCCCAGCGGCCGTGAGGCAGGGCCCCGCTGGCAGATCGCCCCGGGCTCCAGTTAGGTGCTGGAGAAGGGCCCCACGCGGGGTGGGGTCTGCGGGCGTGTGCAGGGCCCCAGCGTCGGTTCCAGGAGCCGGGGTGGGGCTGGATCCAAGGGCTGGAGCATGTGGATTCTGCAGACCAGCCCCAACGTGCTAATGGGGATGATTGGTTGACCCACAAGCTGGGGTGCTCATCCCCAGGCTACACTTGGCCCCGGCATAACCACAGGGCAGTGGGGGGGAGCTGGCAGCAGGGCAGCGTGCTGCTCCGGGGGGTGCTGGGCCTGCTTCCCGGCACTCCGAGCGTCCTCTGACCCCTCTGCTCTCCCCAAAGCCACCATCTCTGCCTCGGAGCTGTCACTGAGCGACGCGCGGGACAAGCCCCCCCGACGCCTCGACCCGGGGCTGATGCCCCTGCCCGACACGGCAGCTGGCCTGGAATGGTCCAGCCTGGTCAACGCTGCGAAGGCCTATGAAGGTAGGAGCCCCGGCATCTGCAGAACACTGGCTCCCCGCAGCCAGGAAGCCGAGCCGAGCCGTGGCCTGCCAGCGTGGGGGTGCTGCTGGCTGCCAGTTCGCCGCGCCGCGCCCAGACAGCTGCGGCATGGGGAAAGTATTGCCCAGTTAATGGCAGCGAGAGGGAAACTGAGGCACGACCTCCCTTTGCAGGAGGCGACGGTGATTGATACTGACTGTGGCCTCATTGGCTCTGAGAACGGAGCCGGGGGGGAGGTGCTGGAACTAGGGGTGCGGGGGGGCTGCAGCACCCCCTGGTTTGAAGTGGTTTCCATCATATCCAGGGTTTACAGTTGGGTTCAATGGCTCCCAGCCCCCCACGGTACACACTGTTCCAGCGCCCTGGGGCTGGGGGCAGCAGGGCGGGACGTGCCATGGGGGTTGCTGGGACAGTGACGGGAAGTCGGTATGAATTGGGGGTTTCAAAGCCACGTGGCTAACGTGAGTCATTTGTGCACCGTCCGTGAGTCTCCTCCCCGTGAGAGCTGCTGTCCCTCCGCTCCATCTCTGCCACCCCTCCTAGTTCCGACTCAGAGCCAGGGAGCCCCAGGCCAGCGGGACCGGGCAGAGTCCCTCACGTTGTCCCCTGCCAGCTCAGCACTTGGGGTGGGCCCCCAGGTTCAGAGCCGTCCTGTGATTTGGGGGGCTTGGCTCAAGCTCCCAGAGCGGGAGCGGATTCCAAGGGGTGTCCCAGTCGGGTCACTTCGCAGCTGCCCGGGCGGGCGATGGGCTCTCGGCCATGGGGTGTCTGTAGGGTGGCACTGGGCGTGCGAGGAGGAGAACGGTCTGCGCTGGGTGGGTTCCCTGGGCGCGGTGCTGCAGGAGCTTGGAGCAGCTGGTCACAACGGTCCCTGTGAGCAGGGCCCCCGCTCGCTGCTCGGATTCCCTCGTTTCTGCCCCTAGACCTGCCCTGCCACAGGTGGGGTGAGCAAGGGGCTGATGGCTTTGCTACTGCCCGTTCCACTGGGATCCAGTAGAACCCGTCCCCCTTCCCAGCCAGCGTAACCCCAGCAGCGCTACGGCTGCCCTGGGAGCCAGGCCTCACCCAGGCTGGCAGTGCCTGGCGAAAGGCTCCGTCTGCTCTCCTCCTCTGGGCCGGCTCCGCCCAGCGCCCTCGAGCCACAATGGGTCCGGACCTGTTGAATCTCCTGGTCTGTGCGTCACGCTCACGTGGCTGGGAGCCCCACCCCAGGAGACGCACGGGAGGCCTTGTCGTGCGGCTCAGGGAGAAATACAGGCGCCCAGCACCCTGCTGTGACAGAGACCCCTCCCCAGGTAGGAGGCTGTTCCCCTGGCGCTGCGCCAGCCCCGAGGCCCCGCTGCTGTGGTGAGTGCGTGGGGCAGCGCCGTTAGTGGTTAGAGCACGGAGCTGGGCCCCAGGAAGCAATGGGGCCTGGTCGTGGGGGAGCAGGGGGGGAGGGTAGGTCTAGCGCTGAGCGGTAGGTGGGGAGCAGGGCCAGCGCTGTGTGCAGGGCCCAGCATATCCATCAGCTCCCACTGCTGCCCCTCCCCACGTCCAGCGTCTTGGGGGCGGGGGGGCTTTGCTGGTGAGGTGCCCCCCCGCGCCAGCTCTCGCAGGCTGTGCAGACGGCAGTCTCCAAAGTAGCCTGAAAAGCCCCCGGGTCCCCTCGCGCTGTGGGGCGAGCCACACCCCTGCTCCTCACCGTACCCGGCTGCCGACTCCAGACAACGCTGGGTCCGGCCCGTCACCTCGCCTGTGACTTCCACTGCCGCTCGCATCCCCGGGAGCCGCGGCCTCGCCAGCCTCCCAGCCAACATGGCAAAAGAAACAGCCCCGGTTTGGGCAAGGCTGCTAGCCTGCGGAGAGGAGCTGAGTGCCACGGGAGGCCAGCGCTGGGAGCGCAGGCATGGCCAGGCCTTCGCAGGGAGATCTGCGCCCCCATGGATTCTCACCGCCCTGTCTCTTCCCATCCCCCCCCCTTCCCGCATTGACATGTACCGATCTGTGGGGGTGGGGGCCTGCTTCAGCCCCACACAAATACCCCCCCCCCCCCGTTCCTAACCGTGCCCGTTCAACCCCTGGATTTCCGCTTGGAAGAGAAAGGCGTGTAGCCAGAGTGAGCCGCGGGGCAGCAGAGCGAGGAAGGGACTGCAGGTGTGTGAGGAGGGGCCATGGCAGCGGGTGGGTCCATGGGCTCGGCGGGGGTGTCCTGCAAGGGGCCCGGTGGAGACTGGCGCCCCTAGCCGGGAGGGGGCTTGTGCCGTGGGCGTTTCCCCCTACCTGCATTTGACGTGGTTCAGACTTTCCCGTGGCCTTTTGGCCATGGCACGTCACCCTGCCTGGGAAACGGCCCCGGCCCCGCAGCAGGAGTCCCGCTGGCCCGGTCTCTGCCCACGGACCCCCCAGCCGCCGGCCGGCTGTGCTGCGGGACGGGGGCAGTCAGTGTGCGACTCCTCTGGGGCTGAGACGCTGGGCTGGCAGCCCCTAACGCCCACGGAGGGCTGCGCGGGCCAGGCGTGAGTCAGGCCGGGGGCGCTGCCTGGTAACGGGGCTCCGGGAGGAGCTTCTCTCCGGCATGCAGCAGTGACTCAGGGGCTGCCACAGCTCCGCAAACAGCTTCGTGCTCCGGCGAGGGCTGAGGCGGGCAGGGCCCGGGCGGCGCGGGTCCCTCCAGGCGGCATGGGCGCGGCAAAGCACAGCCATTCCTTTGCCTTGCAGTGCAGAGAGCCGTCTCCCTCTTCTCCCTCAACGACTCCGCGCTGAGCCCCGACGCCCCCCCGGCGCCCAGCCTGGAGAGACAGCCCACGCCCCGCACCACGCCCACCATGAGGTAAGCGGGGAGCCCGCGGGAGCCCGGCTCCTGCCCCTCTCTGTAATGGGGGGGCCGGGCAGAGGCTGGCTGGCAGTTGTGTCTAGCAGCAGGCCTGGGCTCAGGCAAGCCAGCGCCTCTTCCTGGTGGCAGTAACCCAGCCAACCTTTCAGCGTCTCCTGGCATGGCTATCCATGGAGCTGGCGCTGCAGCCAGAGCGCCACGGGGCAGGGCGCCGTGGGAGCCGTCTGCCAGTGAGCGGAGAGCAGACGCTGCAGCCTCAGCCGGCCTGCATGGGGGGAGCCCCCATCACAGCTGTGTGTGTCTGTAGGGCAGCGCTAGCGTTTCATCCTTCCCCATTTTACACCCACAGCCTGGCCAGGGAGACTGTTCCCCTGCCCCGATGCTGCCCTGGCTTGCGCTCCCCAGGGGCTGCATCAGGTCTTCGCAGCCCTGCCAGCTCCCCTGGCCCGCGCTGGGTCCCCCGGCAGGCCGGCGAGATGCACTGACCCATGTTTTCCCCCCCCAGCGAGGAGCTGCCCGTGGACCTGACGGGAAAGGTGTGTCAGCTGGAGGCCATGCTGAAGCAGCTACACAACGACCTGCAGAAAGTAAGGGGCTCACATCAGGGCTGCCCCCTTCCCCTCCTGTTGGCCCCACCGGGCACCCCCTTCTCTCTGCCACTGGGCAGCCTCTCAGAAAGCGCCATCGGGCAGGAGTGTCTGTGCCCGGGGGCTGGGGTGCCCAGCGGGTTTGAGCCAGGTGGGCTGGGAGCCAGGACTCCTGGGTTCACTCCTTGCTCCCGTTTGCTGTGGAGCTGTGAGAAGGCTGGTGGCCCGGCTGGGGATGGGGCTGGCTGCAGCCGGGAGCTCTCCAAACACCCCCCCTCTCGCGCAGGAGAAGCAGGACAAGGTGGTGCTGCAGGCGGAGGTGGCCAATCTGCGCCAGAACAACCAGCGGCTGCAGGAGGAATCGCAGACGGCCAACGAGCAGCTGCGCAAGTTCGCCGAGATCTTCTCCAGCCCTGTGGATAAGGAGCTGTGAGCGCTCGGGCGCCAGGTGCCACGCACACCCAGCGCTGTGCCCCCAGGCTGCTGGCTGGGTGGGGGCAGCCGCAGAGACCTGGGACGTGCAGTTGGCTGGAGCAACTCGCAGGGCGCTGGGGAAGCTGCTGCTGTGCCAGGAGGGGCCTGTCCTTGGAAGGTGCATCGCCGGCCCTTCCACACCTGCACCACGTCCCCGGCAATATGGGGCTAAACACGGGGATTTACGGCTCCGTATCCCTCCCCACGGTGGCAGGGATCCGTGTCTGTTCTCTGCCCTGCCACCAGGATGTTCTTGGGGCGCCAGTGTGAGCCGTGGCATCCCGTTAAACCTCATGCAAAGGGCACTGCTGGACACCCGGGCCAGTACAGCGCCTCCTTACCCTGCATCTCCCAGCTCCTGGGCGCGAACCTCGACGAATCCAGGAACGATCCCTGTGAAATGACTTCTGCACTACGACACACGGCCTGCATCTTACGGCCAGTTCCCAGGAGAGCAATACGGAGCTGGGCAGGCTCGGCCGCTGTCACCGACCATGGCTCTGTTCAGAACTTGCGGTGGTTTTTCTGGTGTAAAATAATTATAATGGGACTGTACCCGTACCGGAGAGAATTTAAAAATTGCCCCCCGACTCTGGAGAGCACTTCCTCAAAGCTAAATTATTTTCTAGCGAATGCAATGCTGAGAGCGGCTCAGGAAGTGCAAATTGATTGCACTGGAAATGTTCTTTATAAAACACTATATTTGTATAAATGAGACTGTTTGTTTGTAAGGCTTTTCTCTGAGATTTCTGTGCCTGGCGCCAGGCCGCGAGGGGCAGCGCTCGCACCAGCCGAGAGGTCAAAGCAGGGAGGCGCGTGCAGCGGCAGGAGGGAATGAACCTGCTCTTACGGCAGGGGATGCACTGAGACCCCCGCTGGGGAGTGCTGCTTTGCCGGGGGCTGGGAGAGACGTAGGACCGGGGTCCGTCTTTCACCCCGGGCAGGGCTGTGGGAGCTCCGCCTCTGGGGTTTGGTTTGCTAAACTGCTGGATCAGCACATGGGGTGACACAGGGCGACCTTTGAATTCCCTTTTCTAGCTGCCTCCAGAATCCAACCGGCAGCCGCTTCCCCTGCCTTTTGCAGCTCGGCCCTGGGAGCCAAGCCCAGCGCTAACCACAGGGCTCCGGGAGGCTTTCCCGGCGGCTCGCACGGATACGGTACTTCGCTGCTTTACTTCCTTCACGCCCGAGCGGTCACCAGGCAGCCAGGCGCATGGAGCAGGAAGGTGCTAATTTCATATCGGTGCATGAAACCTCTTGTGCCTCAGCCAGTGGGCATGGCGCGTCCCGGCTCCGCGGGCTGAGCCCGGGCCAGGTCCCCGGCCGGCGCGGCGCGTCCCGGCTCCGCGGGCTGAGCACGGGCCAGGTCCCCGGCCGGCGCGGCGTATCCCAGCTCCGCGGCGCTTCGAATCAGCTTGACGTTGCAGCCTGCTGATTGCCCCCTGCTGGCTGGGGGGCAGCGGGCGAAGCTGGGCAGAGCAGAGCCTCTCACCAAGTGCCTGGGCCCTGGGTCCTATCTGCAGGATCCAGCAAACCCTCCTCGTTTGGGCAGGAAAGCAAAGTGGCCCCCGGCGCTACGCGACAGGAGGTGGTGTCAGATCTCACGGGGTAGTTCCCCCTCCCTGTGGGTCACGCAGGCCTGCGCCCCCCTTCCCCCCCGTCCCATGTCTGAGCTGTCGGGGTCACGGGCCTGGCCTTGCACGCGGGGGGGTGTAAATTGTCTGCGGTGTTGGATAAGGTCCTTGCAGATTAAAACCTCACAATTTGCTGATAGAAAAAGCCGCCTTTTAAATGCCTTTGTTCCCCCTTCGGCCCCTGCTTGATTCTCCCCTCAGCAGGTCGGAGGCTTACAAGGAGCTCAACCTTCCCGCCGAAGGGGGCTCTGGCTTGCAGCCGGCAGGAACATCGCTAGGGGGTGTAGGACGGGAGCTCCTCGCAGGGCCTGGGGCCACTCGCCCCCCGAGAGCCTGGGTTGGATCTGACCTCCCCACCATGGTCTGGCAGCAGCAGCCAGGCTCCAGCCACCTGGGGCAGAGGGGGGGGGTCCCCTTGGGGAGGGGGGGTGCGCCCTGGGCTGGCACCAAGCCCTCAGCCCTGTCCCCCCCGCCCCCCAGGCTCCAGCCAGCCCCTCGCCTGCAGAGCCGGAATCGTCTGGGGCGTAGCCATGGGACGGGCGCCCTTAGCAGCAGGGACCTGCCCTCCGCGGGGGGGGGGGGCCTTGGCCCCCTCCCCCCCCCCCCGGGGTGAAATGACCAGAGCAAAGGGGGCCCTGAATTTGGCCCTGCTGCAGAGCGCCGGGGAGGGGTGAAAATCCCCTTTAAATCCACACACACCCACACTGTGATCTCAGCAGGGGCCAGTAACCCTGGGGGGCTCATCACACTCCCCTGTGGGACCGACCCACAGCCTGGCTCTAGCCGCTCGACCCCCACCGGAGCCCGGTGTGGGGGCAGGCCCAGCCGAGGGATTGCTCGGTCCCCTTTGGGGTGGGGGGGTTGTGTGCTTGTGCGCCCCCCCCCGACGTGCAGAGATTAAGCCGGCAGCTCGGGGTATAATCAGGGTAAAAAGTAGGTCACAGCTGAAGGCTGCCACCAGCCCCCCCTCCCCCCCCTACTCACTCCCCCCAGGGCCAGGGGGGCAAATCCGGCAGCTGACTCACAGGCTGCTGTGATGCCTGGGGCTGGCCACATAGGAAGTGCCTCACCCCAACCTCCCTGTGTGCATCCCCCACCCCCATCCCTGCAGCCAGGACGCCTGGGTTCTCCTGCCGGCTCTGGGAGGGGAGCGGGGG